TCGGGTACAGGCATAAGTTGCCAAGTTTCTGGGTATTCTATAAGATACATTTTAGAGAATGAGCGTGCAGCTTACGTACACACTTAAAGCTTCGTTCAGATAGACAGACATTGAGCGTGACAGACAAAATAATATTCTTTTTTACACTATATATAGATATTCACATCTAGCGCACGCAAGCGGAGCGTGTCCGCGCAGACACAGGCCGACACTGGACAGCATTCTCAACAAGAACGTTTTGTTTGAGCTGGTGCGTGTCTGCGGGTGTCTAATATACATTTTGATATGATATGTGTGATTGAAGGTACAGTGACAACCAAAAAAAAAAAAGATTATGCATGGAAAGAAGTAGCAGAAAAACTTCAAGTTTCATGTAAGAAGGATTTTATTTATGAAAAATCTTGTAAGCACGTGCACTTTATAGTTTACCTGATGACGTCTGTTAATGCCGGGTGCGTGTGATATGAAAATTGTTGTCTGTGCGGTGTCTACCACGTTACGTGCTGGACACGCTACGTGCTGGCAGATCTGAACGAAGCTTAAATTCCGTCACGAGCTGCCGGGTGAGTGCGATTAGTATGCCCGGAAAGAATGCCGATTAACGTTAAATAATGAACTTAAAAGTTCTATTCAGCCGTAGATTATTTGCAAAACAAGTGACTGTTTCACCCTTGGCGTATGTTAGTAACGTAATTCACTACCTTTCCACGCCATGTAATTGTCAACATACCCTGAAGATCTGGCCTGCGATAAATAAAGTTATTACTACATCGCATGTGTGTTAGAAGTAACTAATCTGCATATTACGGCAAGAAAAGCCAGGGATTTGATATCCGCCTGCCAGTGTAGACTGTAGACAATGGAAGGGGCCCATAACAAATAGTTTATACGTGGTAGAGCCATGCTGTCACGCTCGCACAAAATACCAGTGTGAAATAGCAGCTTAAAGCAACTGTCTCTCAATCTGATTTTGATTCTTAATCGAGGATAGATATAGATGTCTATGGGCCAGAGCATCTACTTACCATCAGGTGGAATTTTTTTTTTCACCCATAACTATTAAAAGGATAGAGCTTTTTTTTTAGTATTCTTTAGTCCATTGCTGTATCTAGGTTGTTACAAGAATGCGCAAACATGCACATCTACAAAGATTCGACATTACTTACCAAGATTGACAGGTGTTTTGAGCTCGGCAAGCAAAGAGAACAACACTCTATCCCCTATGATATATTGGGGATCACTATACTCACTCTGGTATACTGATTGCCAATATCAGTCTCTAAGATTTGTTTTAGAATGGATGAAGCCACATAATGTAATGAACAAAAGTTGCCGATAAGTTTTCTAGGTGGTCTCTTAAATAATTTTAACAGCGGCTTTTGCTGTCGCACGGATGGGCCGGCTCGAACCGGGGTGGTACCACGACTTCACAGAATACCAGCGTGAAGTAGAGGTTTACCTCTGCGTTTCGCTTGGTGAGTGCAGGTGGCCGGAGGCCCTTTTTACTGAAAATGAGGCATTCCATCTTAGTCCTCACGGGTGACAACGCATCTGCATTTTGATTTGTAATAGAGGATAGATGTAGATGTCTATGGGTCGCAGCAACCACTTACCGGTAATTGACCGGGCCTGCACCTGAGTTCCGATCTGAACTGAAAAAAGAGCCAGTATAATCACAGGCCGAGAGGATTCCATCTTAGTCGTTGGGGCATTATCTGCAGCCACATCTGTCATTTTTTTTTAAATAAAGAATAATAACAACGTAGCCGAAAAAGTTTTTTGGAGAGAACTTGACCAGCGGCGGTTTACTGCTCCTGTATTATTGTTTAAATAATGGTTTGAAGTGGACTTTGATATGTAAAAGTGGTGCGATTTTGTGTCTTAAGTGTCTACGCATGTGAACTATTAGTGGAAACGGTGAAACAAGTGCTCTAATGGTGATGTGATTCTCAAGATAAGGTGTCTGCTTAGGCGCCTTGAGATACCATCGCCAACTGTCTGCTGGCTCAAGTTGCCGTCAAAATTTCCCAAGGACTTCACAATGTGACGCATCAACATATTGTGAAGCAGTGTACTACGAAGGATACATTTGTACTATGAAGGATAATTATACATTGAAAAATGGAAGACATGGCTGACGCACAAACCGTGCAGGCCAAGAAATGGAAGGAAAAAAAACATTCAAAAAGCCGAAAGTCATTCAAAATTTTTCTATTCGTTGTACGCTACCAAACATTCAGTAAAATTGGTTAAAAGTTACAGCCTTCATACACCCCACTTCTAAGCACCACCTGGCAAGACCTACAGCCATATCTGTTGCCTTCTTTGACTGAAGTTTGTAGTAGGTATCCTTGGACTGTAGTAGCCACTTCACATCAGGTGCACATTGCAAGTTTGTCATCAATTTCATTAATAAGTACATTTTCACACAGGTAATGTTACCATGTTCATGATCATGTTTAATGTCCATGTTACACCTATGCCGGTAGTTGTTGGGAGCACTAAGCTCGAAGTTGTTGACGAGTATGTTTACCTAGGACAAATAGTCCGACTAGGTAAGTCCAACTTGGACCGAGAGGTCAATCGACGGATTCAACTCGGTTGGGCAGCGTTCGGGAAATTACGCCACATCTTCTCGTCAGGTATACCTCAAAACTTGAAAACGAGACTGTACAACCAGTGCGTGTTGCCAGTGATGACATACGGTACTGAGACGTGGTCCTTCACTGCTGGCCGGATGAGGAAGCTCGAGGTCGCTCAGCGACCTATGGAGAGGGCTATGCTCGGAGTTTCCCTGCGTGATAAACTCAGAAATGAGGATATCCGCAGTAGAACCAGAGTGACCGACATAGCCCAACGGAATAGTAAGCTGAAGTAGCAATGGGCCGGCCATATAGCTCGAAGAACCGACAACCGATGGGGAAAAAAGGTTCTCGAGTGGCAGCCAGGTACCGGCAGGCGAAGTGTTGGGCGTCCCCCCACTAGATGGAGTGACGACCTGGTAAGATATGCAGGAAGTCGATGGATGCAGGTGGCTCAGGACCGTGCTTTGTGGCATTCCTTGGGGGAGGCCTATGTTCAGCAGTGGACTTGTGAAGGGCTGTAATGATGATGATGATGATGATGATGAATGTTAGCATAATTACAGCTGAAATGAGGGTTGAGGACGCGAAAAGTTAAGCGGAAAATATTGATAATTAAATCTTTCATCCTTTTGCTTGTTTTCTACCGACATCGACTGTGTTTTTTTATGTGTGTTACCTCATAACTTTTTTCTGGGTGAACCGATTTCGATGATTTTTTTTTATTAGCTAGTGCTTCTCATATGGTCCCATATCTAATTTTGATCAAGCTCTGACCAATATTTTTGTTGTACAATTTTTTTAATTTTTAATTTTTTTTTTTTTATAAACTATAAACATATATGTAACTATTTTTCAACGTGGTAGGGCTACGCTGCAGCTATATTAATAGTATAGTTGTAGCACGAATGGGTCGGCTCGACCGTTGAAAGACCACGCTCTCACAGAATACCAGCGTTAAATAGCAGCTTAACGCTTCATCTTAGTTCTCGCGGCAACCACTTACGATCAGGTGGACTGTGTGCTCGTTTGTCACCGTTATTCTATAAAAAAAAAAACAATCAAAACATTACGATGTACCTAACCATTTTAGTTTCTGGTTTATGATGACATCAATATCCTTTATAATTAAGTCCATGGCTGAACTAAGGCTTCTTTAGCATTTCTTGTAATATTTACTAATTTATCATGCTGGGCTGGGCAGAGGGATAAGTTAGCGCAGAGTCTCCGCCAGTTAGGGGGGGTTCATTGAGCACAGATGAGGTTGGCATTTGGCGGAAAAGGTTACAATAATGCATATTCACTCATTGCGATGTGACTCCACTTTAGCATGTATTGTGTATCAATGTAGGTAGGTGATACGTCGCCGCTTGGTGGCATAAAAATTGTCATTCCATCTCATCTCATGAAGATTGATAGGAGGCGACTGGGTGTGAGAGCTGATCTTGTGGCTTTCTATCCTAGAAAGCAGTATAACTATCTCAGTGTTAGACGTCTGGTATTATGGAAAATCTTCCCTTCTAAGTTGTGGATTGTATGCAATTTTTTTACAATAAAGCAAAATAATAAAAGTAGACAAAAACCATTCAAATTTCTTCTATTCGTTGTCAGACTACCACACACTAGGTAAAGTTAGTTAAAAATTACAGCCTTTATGCGCCCCACTGCTGGGCACAGGTCTCTCCTCATTTATGAGCTTCGCTGCTCCAGTGCGTGTTGACGGACTTCAGATATTCTTTTAAAATTTTGTTCCTCAGCTATACATTTTTCCTCGTGATATTTTCCTTTTGCGCCGAGCGCGTGGTAAATCAGCACTTGAAAACGCAATTAACTACTTCATTAGTGCCGGCGGGGATCGAACCCAGGTTGCTTGCGTCATCATCATCATTACAGCCCTTCACAAGTCCACTGCTGAAAATAGGCCTCGCCCAAGGAATGCCACAAAGCACGGTCTTGAGCCACCTGCATTGACTTCCTGCATATCTAGTTAACACACACAAACATACAGGTCAAGCATTTAATCCTGCTATTTTTAATTATGGTTATAATAACAAGATCTAACAAATTACAGAGGAATTACGCGAAATGCATAAAAAAAACTATAAAATAATGAGCACAGTTCCTAATGGTATAATGAAATTATGGTCCGTAAAGGTTGGGGCTAAAGCACCAGCTATAAACGTTCCATCTGCCCTACAAGTGAGTGTGGAGACAGTTTAAAAAGGTACAGTTTTAAATTTGGAAGTTTCTTCTGTTGTTTATTTATTACAAAAATATATGATAACTGCCATATAACTTGAATATCTATTAGTAATATTTAAAAAGGGTTTCACATTCGAAAATGAAATTCATGTAAAATAATAATATCATCTATAAATATAATTATGATTACACATTTATATATTTTTGGAATGGATTTCAAACCCTCAATCTATCAGATAGAACTCGAACAATACACCCAGAGCCACCTACGTTATACGCTTTTTCATGCCACAGTAATAGATGTCCACTGGAACCTTCTGATGGGTATTCAAAGCCTCGATAGATATATTTCATTAAAATATCTATGTCATCGCGAGATAAGTTTCCAACAGCTTCCTCGATTTGTGCAGATTTTATTGCCAGTAGTACTTTTAAAGTAACAGCAAGAGCATTATCCTGAAAGCATAAGAAGGCAATATGAATTTTTTTTGTTTCATCCTTTGTGTGATTTTGTGATTAGAATAAGTGGCTGGTGATGGTCATATACCCTAGGTTTTAATTTAATGTGTATATTGCGAATGTTCTGTGTTTTAACAACGAACTTGATCTATGGGGTATGTTCGAATTACAAAATATGTATCGTATCAATGATATTATATACCAAAATATATTATTGTATCATATAAAATTATACCGCGTAGTGGACGTTCGCAGTGTAAGAATATCTACTACCCCATATCGACCCCACCGGTCAGCCAGACAGTAAGGGTTTTTTGTTTTTAATAATAATTTACTTCATCAGGCGTTACTTTGCCGAAATACATTTTATTAAAAATGTTAAAATAGTTAAAAAAAATCACTATTGGTATAATTTTTCTATAACCTATACCTTAATATGTATTAAATGTTTTTATTATAATCTAATAAGTCAGGGAAAAAGTTTCTACGTGGATATTTTGTTTATGTAAAGAAAAATCAAGCAAGAAATTGAGAAAAGACGGCCGGAATTGGTCCACAGAAACGGAGTGATCTTTCAGCATGATAACGCCAGACCACACACATCTTTGGCCACTCAGCAAAAATTGAAAGCGCTTGGTTGTGAAGTGTTAATGCATCCACCATATAGTCCTGACCTTGCGTCCTCAGATTTTCACCTATTTCGGTCTTTTCAGAACTCTTTGGGTAGTATTAGGTTAACATCAAGAGAGGATTGTCAAAACTACTTGTCGCATTTTTTGATCAAAAAACCTACAAGATGGCAACAAGTTATCAAACAAAATGGCACATATATAAATATTATAATTAAATGTAATTAAACTTTGAAAGAAATTTTGAAAAAAAAAATGTCTTGAATTTGTATATAAAATACGAAGAAATTTTTTCCCCAACCTTATAATATATTCATAACTTTCAGACCGACTTCAATCATTTACTCAGATTTTTTGAAAATATAAACAAAATAATAATTGCTTAATTGTTGAAATGATGCTTAGAAATATTTATATCGAGTTTTTTTGTGGTAATGGTAATCTCAAGTTTTTTTCTTTTTCCATTTTATCCCCAAAACTTACTTTTAAGGCCTTAACAGTGGTTGAAATGCCTAAATCTTGGATATTTAAGTAAATAAATCTCAATAACTGTTCACTTAAACCACAAAGAAAAAATACAGGGTAACAGAAGAGGATTTAGTAAATGTTTTTAATTGAACAAAATTGTATTTTTGTCAACCCCTTATTAGAAAAAAAATCCCCAAAGAGTACCTATCTTTGTCATATTTTGCAAAATTTCTCCAAAACGGCACAAGCTTTTTAAATAGTTCTTACACTAAAAAAAAGGTCTTAAAAATATTAAAATTTTTAATTGAGAGTTTTATTTTTATTCCCCGTTTTATAAGAGAATATATCATTTTTCCCTGAAATTGAATATATTTACGCGAGCGCGCATGCTCCGTCGCCCTGTCAGTCCGTTTTCGGACATCGTCGAGGGTGGACCGCACGTCGGTGTTGGAGCGACTTCGTTCAAATATATATTAGTTTTTTAAAAGTTTATACTCAATTATACATATTTTTATGACTAGAAATACTTAATTTAGTAAATATCTGTACACTGGTAACTGTAAATATTATTTTCTAAATAAATTAATTTTTAAAGTGCCCAAAGAAGAAGAAATTTTTGCGGCGACGTTGATTAGTGAAATTGAAAAATGCATTTTTATATAATATAGATGTGGAACGACGAACATGCTCTCGTTACTTAGATTTCGATATTTTTTAATAACTATGTAATTTTATTGTTGCATATTTTTGTTAATTAGTTGATACTGAATTTTATAATTATGTATTACAATGAAACGCTGTTTTTATGAGTATGACTTTATAAAATATTGTTGGGGAGGGAAATATACATACAAATACTTACATTTAGGTACACTGTTATCAAATTAAATCAAACAATTTAAATAAATAATAAAAATGGTGCTTCCCTAAGTATAAATAACTATATAAAGACATTCTTGGGTTTATGGTTTTTTTTTTATGTTAGACAAACTAACATCTAAAAATGTAAAAATTAAAAATGGAGAGGAGTTTCTCTACGTGATAAAGTTAGAAATGAAGATATTCGCAGTAGAACCAGAGTAACTGACATAGCCCAACGGAATATTAAAGTGAAATGGCAATGGGCTGGCTATATAACTTGGAAAACCGATAAAAAATAGGAAGAAAGGTCCTCGAGTGGCAACCTCGTACAGGTAAGCGAATTAGTACTCAACCTTTATTCCTCTTCACGTATTCTCATACGCTTTTCTTCACACATACACACACACACACACACACACACACACACACACACACACACACACACAAATAGGTAGAAAATAATACTTACCTAGTACTATTAGGCAAGAGTGAATTGGTTTTTGTTAAGTCAGTGCAATTCACCATCTTAGGCTACATAACCAGCGATGGGATTGTAGTTGCTTTACTACTTGCTGGGTAAAAATAGTAAAAAAAATTACCATGTGAAAGTTTGCATTTAGATATAACTTTTCTAACCAATCATAAAAATATGATGAGAATATGTATATAAGTATAAAGGTTACCTCACACGGGACAGTAATAATATAATATTATATCTTCCATTATCTACGCATGAAAACTTTTAAAATCTCTTGAACCCGAGGTATGTGCATATTAAGAGGCTGAATAGAGCCACATTGATATGCGTGGTGATCGTTTATAAGATATAACAAAAATAAACAAAAAAATAAATCTCAAAAAAGTTTTTTTGAAATTTATTTTTTTGAATTGAATTGATTATATACCGCTAACACTTAATCACACTTTTCGAAACAACGCCAGTTGTAAACAATACTTGTGTGAAAAGACAAAATCTTCTTTTCAAATATCCGCCGAGTTGTAAGTAGAAGGCCAAATAGGTCATGTGTCAATTTTAATTAAATATATTTTATATGAAGTGATCTTGACTACGTTTCATCAATTAACCATTAGTAAAAATTAAAACAGGAATTTTACAATTGTGTTTACAAGAAACATTATTTTTATTATAAATACCTATAAATGTATATATTATTAATAAATAGTTCCCATTATATTTTGTATTATTTCTATTTTGCCCTATCTGCAATGTTCTACGCTCTATAGAAAATGTGGCGTATGACATGACTGACAATCTCTCGAACGTTTTATCTAGATACAAAGATGTTTTACGTTTTCGTCACCTCCACATGATATTTTTGTCAGCATAAGCTACCCTTCTGTATCTGAAACGAATATGAATATTGCTACAAAGTAAAGTAATAGGCTATACAAGTCCCTCTACTGGGCACAGAACTCTTTTTTTATTTCTGAGAGGGTTTTAGGGCAAGGAAATGCCCGCCGCGCTGCCCCAAAGCGTGTTGACGAAAATTGCAATTACAAATTTCATTCGTGCTGTCGGGAATCAAACCCGGGAAAGATTTACAGCGAACGCTTTGACCCAGATCTACTAATACGACACAAATAAATACGATTTAACATATATAATAAAAAAACTCTTACGTACTTGAAACTTGAACACTTGATAGCTCGTGACACCTACCGGACAAAGCTACAGCACAATGTAATTGAAGATGCGTAACCGCGACATAATTCTCAGTGATGCGCAAGCATAACAGGCAGTATTTCACTTATATAATTGTCATTTCTGCAGTCTATTAATCTTTGCACTTTTATAAGTAATACAGAACGTAGTTGCTAGACGGTGTTGACGTCGACTAAAATCTCTGCGATCGCCGTTTCGTCAAGGTCATTCAGGCTAGTTAAAGCCTTAACTCGAAAATTCGAATTTCGAACAGATATCGAGGTGACTTTATATGTGATTCATTTTGCTACATTTACAAATAATGCAAGGACTGTTAATATTGATGAGCTCTACACTACAGGCTTAATATAGAGATTAAATAGTATCTATAGAAAGGATAGGGAGATAAGATACAGGCTATAATTTCCCTATGTATATCATTTTATGTTCTGCTTAAGTTTTAAAACTAAAAACGAAATATTTAATACAATACACTTAGCACTACAAATTTATGGGTAAAATGCACAACCTTTTGAATTAGAGTTATCCTTTTGAGTGAAACAAGGAATATCAAAATCTCAATGTCGTCTTAATATGAAGTTCAAAAAACAGAAACGTGAAAGCAATTCCAAATTTACTTAAGATTGCTTTCACGTTATTACTTAATTATCAGAAGGCAGTCACAACAAACACCCAGCCCACCTGATGGGTAGTGGTTGTTGTGGCCCATAGACATCGAAATCTATCCTCGATTAAGAATAAAAATGCACACACCTGGGTACTAAACAGAATGCCTCATTTCCAGTTAAAAAGGTCTCCGGTTTTCTACATTCACCATAAATAATAAAGCAGCATTCAGCTGTAATTTTTTTAGATTGTGGTCCTTTCCTTCCCCAATCGAGCTGACCCATTTTGTGCTACAACCATAATATACAGCTGCAGCAATACTATACCACATTTTGTATAATATATAAAATATCTTAAATAGTTCACTATGTTCTTACATTTATTATCAGACAAAAATATATTTTTTACAAATAGGCACACTTACTTTTACTTGTTGGTTTGTTGATCCAATTGGGGCATTGTTAAGCACCAACTTAAGAGCTTCTATGGATCGTCCTGTATTATACTGTTAAGAAAATAAATAGAAGGTATAAGTGTAAAAATGGATTTAATTAAACAATTTCGTCTTTAAATCCATTTTTACTGAATCTGTTATGTAATTCAAATTTATAAAAACTTAATATTTCTATGAACTACGAAACACATTATAGGCAGCAGTTTTTTTTTAAAATATAAATATCACATGTATAAGCTTAAAGAAAACCAAATAAAAATTAGCATATAAACGACTATGCAAAGGAGAATGCCAGATCGTGCCCCACCTTGTACAAAAAAGGTAAAAGTATGAAAAATAATCATATGAATTTTGAAGTTTTTTTGATAAATCGTTATTTTGTACAACTTGCGGTAAAATATTATTTAAAAAAAAAAGGAATTCGACGATTAATATTTACATTTCCAGTCTTTTCTAATAACATTTACGTTTCTTTGTACGAATAAGTACATACGTACGCATAAAGTATCAAACAACACATATTTCTATTAAAATATATTAAAAGTCTTAGTCATATAAAATGTTACTTATCAATTTTTATTTTCAATTAATTTTATAAGTCGATAATAATCATGAATTGCATTAGATAATTACTGAATAACAATCATTGATTTTTGTGCATTTTGTGAAATTATACACAAGTCATTGTATCAATATCGTAAGTACGTATGTCAAATTAATGTCGAATATTTTCACACATTGACTAATTTGTGCTTGTGACATATATTGATTATGATTATATCACATATTTGCTTGTGCTGATTCCCGCTTTCTTTACCGTTACACTTTTTTCTGCTTTTGCTGACGACTTATGCTTTTATTAATATACGGACTCGATCACACCTACTTATTGACTTACTGCGAATTACTACGGACATTCTGATAATTGCATCCACGATGTTGGGGTGTACTAATTGTCATCTTTGCGTCGATAGGAAGCATTTTGTGTCGTCATTTCGATTTACAATCTTAACTCTTCTTTCAACATGGAGATCTTTGCAACAGATATATTTAGTTTAATAGCTTTTTTATATAGTTGATAATTTGTGGTCCTGCCGATGTCGTAAAATTAGTTACTAATCTGTAAATATTTACACCTTCAGGCACATGTCATAATAATAAGTATCTTGAAAAATAATTTTATAAATAATATAACTCGTTTACATGACTAGGACTTAGATTTTACGAAAAACAGGTGGTGCTAGTCTTATATTGTGTAAGGACCTTTTAGATCCTGTACAAGAGAACCCTTTTTCCAATGTTACTGATCATAATACTATTATGTGTGCGTTTTTAAGTTCGCGGAATGGGTAGGTAGGTAATAAGTGGGGACTTCGCTGAATTACGTGCTAATTGAGCAACTCTTGTTAGTATAAATACCGGGTTTTATTGTAATTAGATCATTAGTCTTTGAGTTATCGTCAACCAAACAAGTCAATCGGGAAGAAATTGTGAAATACGGAGAAAATCGAGTTCCGTGCCGTTATAAAGTTTCTTACCAAGCGCGGAAAATCAGTTGACTATATATGTGATTATACTATATTTATTACTATACTGGAAGAGATGTCATCCGTTTACGGAGACTCTTGTCCAAGTAAAACTATGGTTTACAAGTGGCATACCCTTTTTAAACAAGGCAGAGTGTCACTTCAAGTGAAGTGCCTCGAGTGAAGTGTTCGTGCATTTTTGGACCTCTGTATGGAAGACAAAGATGGAGTGGTGGCTCGAATTGTTACTGGTGACGAAACTTGGGTTCACCATAATGAACCTGAGTCCAAACAGGAATCTATGCAGTGGCACAAAAAAGGCACACAACCACCCAAGAAATTTAAGGTGGCACAATCGGCTGGGAAAATCATGGCGACTGTCTTTTGGGACTCAGAAGGAATCCTATTGATTAATTATAAAGATAGAGGTGTCTCCATAACAGGAAATTACTACGCTTCAATCCAAGTACAATTGAAGCAAGCCATAAAGGAGAAAAGAAGGGGAAAATTGACCAAAGGAATCCTTCTTCTGCACGACAATGTTGCGACGGCTGCCCTGCAAAATTTGGGCTTCGAAATTTTGCCAAATCCACTTACCCCCATTCCGCGAACTTAAAAACACACCCTCGTATCATTAGCGCCTGACAATTAAAATGAACTGCAACGAATGCTGGTCTAGAAACTAAGGTAAATGTAATTATTAAAGTACAGTTTAAAAAATCGCTAGTTCTAGAGACTTCAAATTATATAATTTGGATGAAGTAATAAAGTAGAAGAAAATGTTCCATACGGCATTCGTGTACACCACACTTGGGGTGGGTGGGGCAAAGTTTTATAGAGAATTTGGGATTCTCCTTTGGTATTATTTACAAATTTATATTATAGAAGTAGTAAAGTAGTAAATTAGTGAACTATAAGTACCTGTGTATATTAAAAAAGATTTATAACTTCTATGATTTTTTCGGATAAAGTAATCACAGAAGAAAGAATCAAAGAAAAAAGAAAGCCCATAGGAAGGGAGCTTCGAAAGAAGCACTTTGTGCCAGACCCGATCGAAGGCCTTCGCTATGTCCTCACTAACGGCCAATGCCTCGCCCTTGGACTCTACTGCCTCCGCCCATCATGAGTCAGGTAGACCAGAAGATCACAAGCTGATTGACCCCGACGAAAACCGTATTGGCAGTCACTAATCAGCTGTTGATCCTCAAGGTACCTCATGTGCTGGCAGTAAAAAGTAAAATCTTGACATCCAGAAGGAAGGCCAACTATTTGAAGACTGCTCTCAGTAGTTCAAAATCTTTAATAAAATTCTAGACACTATATAGTATTTCATTGCTCAAAGCCTTATTATTACTACTTTTTAATGGAATGTTTTAAATGATAAATAATTAATTTTAACAAACTGAGATTTTTTTTGTAAATATACTAAACATTTAGGTAATTAAAATTAATTTTATAATTTTAGCACAAAAATATTACACAGAATATAATTATAATTATCTGGTTATTGATAGTGCTAGAAGAATGTTTTAGCACAATTAAACCTTCAGCTTCAACTTTGGCCAAGAACTGACCTTTGGTAGCACCCTCAAAATTAAATTATATTTGGGTTGTAAAAATAACCAGCATTTTTCATAATAATTTTTATGCTTCAAGATTTTATTGATTAAGCTGGTTATACTAACAATCCCTGGCATGTACATATTAGAAAAATATAAATTTGTCAGAAAACATACAGAGTTATTTAAGTCAACCTGTGATATATATCCACAAAGCATTAGGAATAGTTATAAGCTTGTCTTAGACCATACACCGAAAACTTCTCTGTTAGAAAGGTTGTTACTGCATGTGTATAATGTGTGCATAAGTTTCTTATATATTTCTTATATACTTAACACTATATAATGTTATTATTAGTGTTAAGTAATTTCAAAATAACCAATATGCATGTTGACATATGATGCATGTAATTGCTATGTGTATCACTAATTTTTCACAATATGTGTTTTTATTAATAATGCTTTATCGAAATTAGTACATTGGTTTAATGCCAACAATATGCTCTTAAACGGCAACAAGACAAAGTGTATTAAATTTACAATACCTAATATAAAACATGTGAATACCAATGTGCCTTTAAATGGGGAGGAGTTGAGTCTTGTCAATACCACTGTTTTTCTTGGTATTACTATTGACGCGAAACTTCAATGGGACCCACATATATCTAAATTGGCAAGCAGACTTAGTTCTACAGCATATGCTGTAAGAAAGATTAGAAGTATCACAGATGTTGAGACAGCTAGATTAGTGTATTTTAGTTACTTTCATAGCATAATATCTTCTGGAATTTTGCTATGGGAAGCTATATTTGTTTTGCAAAAGAGAGCCGTACCGGCAATTTATAACCTAAATTGTAAAGAGTCCCTGAGAGAAAAATTTTAAGAAATAGACATATTAACGTTGGCATCGCAATTATGAAAATGTAATGTATGTACATAAAAACATAAATAGCTTTAATAAGGATGTGCATACTTTAAACACTAGGAACAAACATAAGCTTAGTTACTACATTAGTTTAGTAGCTTAGTTACATAGCCAGTTACTAGACTCCACAGAATCAGTAATTCATTTATGGGGCAATGTATACACTTTTACAACAAAATATCAGAACATATTCAAAGTTTGTCAATAAACAATTTTAAAAGTTTTATTAAAGAAAAACTGTACAAAAAGGGTTATTATAATGTCAAGGAATACATGAATGAAAATAACCCCTGGGAATAAGGTAATCGCCACCATGCTGGTTCTATGAAAAACCATTTAAAAATTGAATAAACAAAATTATTGTTAAGTGAAATATGTATGAAAAAAAGTCCCACTGGGTTTCTTGCTGGTTCTTCCCAGGACAGAGGTATTTTCCAAACCAGTGGTAAATAAAAAATGACTTTCAATAGGTATTATCTAATATTCAATATTGAATAAAAAAATATTCTATTCTATTCTATTGTTTGAATATTCTATTTCGGTGATTTTAGAAAGCTCTTTATATAGATGAAAGTAAAAAAAAAATATTGCATTAAATATTACCATTCATCAGAGAGAACCAAATTGTTCTCTCTAAAAACTTCAATAAAATATATTTTTATCATTTAAATATTGGATTAGGGTGTTTTTAGAATGCTCTTTATATATTTAATTGAATCCTCTTGTAACTAGAGATGGGTAACTCAGGAGAGATAGATACAAAAGATATGAATCAATCCGTTTCCATCAATCACTCTTTATATCCATCCGCATCCGAATGTATCACTGTATCAGTGTATCTTTACAACTTATTCACTCAAAACATCTTTTAACTTTTTCTAACATCTGTGTCGCACATTGCGCACACTGCTTTCTATTATACCTCCGGCCGAGGTATTATACCTCGGCCGGCACGGCCGGTCGTTGCAGGAAGATTTCGGAAAGTCCATAATACAGACGTTTCTTTCGCAGGTCACTATTTAGAATGTTCTGTCGCGCTTTGGCAAGACGGAGAGAGTGAGTTGTTTGACCATTATAAACTGTAATACGTTAGCACAAAAAGGTAAATTGATAACTCTATGACTGGTGCGTAGGGCTTAAAGTCATTAACCGGTACGTTAACATTTAAGTATTATACTGGTTTGAACTGTACCTATGTGTACATTGCCTATAAATTTTTTAGTAAACAATGCAAACTAATTTCAGTTATAAAACTATAGTTTTTAAGAAAGTTTTATAATGGAAATTAATAGTCGTTTATATCCATAAAAAAAGTAGAAAAAGATTTGTGATTTACAAAATTAAACAAATATATCACTTTGCTTCATTAGTTCAAACTTAATCTCGGTTTGGGAACGAGAGTAATATTGTTTGCGTTAATTGCATCGAATAGAAAAATATTTGAAGTTGTTTTGTTACATTTAGTGACTGTTTAATTTAAATGTAGGTAAATAAGACATTCAGTGTAAATAGTTTAAAGTTTTTTTTTTGTTCTGTACGTACAGTTAGTGAATGTTTCATTTATTTTAAGTGTAAATAATTTTGCACAGTTAGTGATTTATTAATAAAAAAAAATGGGTTCACGAAAACGAAGCGCAGTGTGGAATCATTTTGAGGAAGTAGAACCAAAAAAAAGCAAAATGCCTTTATTGTGCGAACTTGCTAAATGTACCCGCTGGAAATTGTGGTAACCTTCCCCACAGTACCCCTCGTAGCTAAAAGACAGCCAACGCAGCAGGCATGTTTTCAAGAAGCCGAAACTATATAATACTTATATATTTTCTACAAATTAATACAAACAATACCTACCCTATCTACGTTATTTACGTTAATCATTAATTTAATTATTATTTTAAACTAAAAATTTAAGTTAGTTTCTCGAATAAGTGCCTATTAATATTTATCAATCATAACAATAACAGCGCTCGCTGTAAAATTCACAGTACGCAAGCAACCCGGGTTCGATCCCCGCCGGCACCAATGAAATTGTTAATTGCAATTTTAAGTGCTGATTTACTCATCGCTCGGCGATGAAGGAAAACATCGTGAGGAAACCTGCATGTCTGAGAAATAGGAAAACTTTAATTTTTTAATCATAACAAATAGATACCTTGAAAGAAACAATAGCTAAATATATCAGAAAGATACACAATGTTACGACCAAGCAAAATGCAAACAGCTCTATAGGTACTTATCTATCACTCTTACTGATAGGATTGAGTTGAGCGAAGCGAGCCACGCTGAGTGAGCAACGCAACGTAATGCGATGCGTGTCGTGAAAGCGAGCTTGATCTACTGATACATAAGGATATAAAGATATAAAAGAGTGATACATATCCAAGTGATCAAAAGATACATAACAATCTTTTCTTTTAAGTGATACACATTGCCCATGTCTACTTGTAACTATATTTCAATCAATATATAATTAACGTAATATAATATTAATTAGTACAATTAAATATACAAAATGCAACATACTTTAATTATTTTGTAAACATGTTACGAAAAGCAGTAGTGACATACTGAATGAACACTGTAATGCAATTCCAATGGATGAGACGCAATAGCGACATTGCTAATATAGATGTGTTCGGATATAACTATTAAAATTAAAAAGGATATTGGTTAAGTAAAGCACAAATCTCTCCTTCATCAGGACCAGTAGGACCTGATGATTCAGCCTCATCTTCTTTAAAATTATCTTCATTATACTGATCAATGTCTATTTTACGGAATGCCGAACTGGAAGTATTTTTAGCCATTTTAGTAATTTAAATAAGTATGTAAATGCGGATTTGTTGTATGTAGAAGAATATTGTAAATTGTAAATTGAAAATTGTATTGTAATGACTGTACGTGTACGATGTTTATGATTTGATTTTATTAAACCATAGATAAATAAATATGTAAACTGGCTTTACGGCTTTGGCTTCTAGACCTTCTATTTATTTACGATTTGAACTATGGATTTGTTCCAGTATATAAAAAGAAAAAGTACTCTATGAAACGGAACGAAATTAACCTATAGAGCTGACCTTTAGCGTAAATTTGAATATTTTTCTGGCAACACTAAATGCTCGTGACGTTGCAGAGTTGAACTTCAATCTGGAGGTGGGCAAAGTGTATCATTTTTGGGATTGGAACATTTGCATCTTGATCACTAAAATGTTCCGAAACACTGATATGTTTCATTTGGCTCATTTGTATCATCGCCTCAAAAGATATAAAAGAAAGAATGTTCCGAATAGGTACATTAAGTTGCGTCGCGGGCGTTTATTACTGACTGATCCGTGAAATATTATGTGGCAACCATGCTGAATAATATAAGTGCTTAAATTATTTATTGTGTACCGTAATAAGATTGTATATAAAATCGATTCTCCTTCATACTTTAACAAAAATGTCACTATGTCAATTCATTATTTACAAAAATGTCCATTTACACAAAACAGCAATGTCTATGTACACAGAATTTACTCGTAAAGTATCATAACTCTAAACTTTACGATGAAAAGGAAGAAAATAAAGTCACAATAATCACTACGCAAAGAAATCCTAAACATAACTCAGTATGTTTTCGTAAACAGGCGCTAATGAATATAAAGTATAAACAATTTGACAAGTGCCGCATCAACGTAAAATGTCAACTTGTTAATGTAAACGTTACATACAAAAAACGACCGTATAGTATTTGACACATAAGCGCCTTAGTGGTAATTTTTACGTGCATGAATAACGTCAGCGAAAATCCGTACTAGTTGAGGATACACTTCTTATTTGTTATCTCTATCTGACTTGTGTGGATTATTATTATTTCGCCCGCTCACTCGCCACTCGTGAGTCAATAGTTAAGTTAATCATTGTCTCAGTCTCTCTCTCTCGCTCATGGCTCAGTCGCCTCGCAAGCGCAAGCGACGCGTCGCGCGAAATGAGCAAAGAGCAAAGTAATGTTTTACTGTTCCAGATACAAATGATACATTTGAAACGTTGTTACTGAACCATTCTTTTGTGTCACTTCAGTGATTCGTATCAGTGAGTCGTTTCCGTAAAGAGATACACACGCGTACTTCAATCAGTTGTCGAGCTGGTGCCAAAATCTTGTTTTTTTTGCGTTTTTTCACTGTCAGCGTACAACATCTCTCAGGTAAGTTATTTCAACATTAGACCTTAAGTCCGATCTTTGTATTCTTTTGTTTTAAGGAATGCAGTAAAGAATAAATAAAACTTTAGTGTTACGATAAGCGCTACACTTTATTTCTATGCTCATTTGAGACCTATAAATCATACCATTTTTAAGATAATGGGATGGGCAATGATTCCCGAACTTGCGAGAATACAGCAGTGACAACATTACCTACTTCAAAAATAGTGTAAGGGTGGGCACCCATAATAAATATAAAATTTTTTTTTATTTTATATTTATGGTTGTACTGTTGTCATAGTGTGAGCATGTGATGTGAAGAAATGAGTAACATGTTACGAGGATAGTTTTGAGTATAAGTAAGAATTTGGATAGCTATAAATGTAGAGAAAAACCAAAAAAAACTATGAATAGATTGTGTAAAAGATTATATAAATACTGAGATAATGGCTAAAATAGACGGATGGATTTTTTGCAGTAATGGAAAGCCTATTAAAAGAAGAAGTTGCGGGTCTCAGCCATATAAAAATTATTCAAGTGAGATGCTGCACCCCGCAATTAAAAAATGTTAAAGAAAATAGGATGTACTCTAGAACAGCAAAAAACATTTGTTATACCTATGCGCACCATCCTAAACAAAGTGAAAGAGTACTATAACAAAAATGTTGAAACTCCTACTCGGCTCTCTTTCCGAGAGCAAAAGAGTATTGTTCAAGCATTGATTGCAGCCGTCGAATATGGTTGCCCACTAACGAAGCTTGATTTACGTTTGACTGTTTTTGAATATCTTAAGAAAAATAATTGTGAATATTTATTTTATGGAAAACCTTTAAATTTCTTACGTGGTATAGCCATGCTGCAGCTATATTATGGTTGTAGCACGAATGGGTCGGCTCGAACGGGGAAGGACCACGCTCTCACAGAAAACCAGCGTAAATAGCAGCTTAACGCTGCTGTGTTTCGTATGGTGAATGTAGAGAACCGGAGACCCTTTTTACTGGCAAAGAGGCATTCCATCTTAGTCCTCACGGGTGACAACGCATCTGCATCTTGAGTCTTTATTGAGGATAGATGTAGATGTCTATGGGTCACAGTAACCACTTACCATCAGGTGGACTGTGTGCTCGTTTGTCACCCGATCCTATAAAAAAAAAACCACCGGACAAAGACTGGGTTACAAGTTTTCTCGATCAGCATGCAGATGAATTTAAAGAAGAACTCGACTTTTCCGATAATCTCATTTTTGTCATTGTTGGCAGACAAAAATAGCCTCGACGTAAAGGATACAATGGATGATATGATAGGAAATAATGACGATGCAACAGAAGATGAAGTTTTACCCCCTTTCACTAAAACTGATATATTAGACGAGAAAAACGAAACCTTTACTTCAGAAATCACAACCAAATTATGTGAAATACATATTTTAAGTGCTATCATCATTCGTGAATATGCTGGGACAAATATTATTTTGAAACCAAAGAACCATGATTTGTCTAAAGAAAACACTAACATATTTAAGAGGCGTATTACAAAAAAACATTGGGGGTCATTGTAGAAGCGTGCTCGTCGCGACCCCTGCCTGCCCTTTTTAGGGCTGCAATTCTATAAAGCTGTGCACCCATGCCAACGAGGGTTAGGGCGTCCCCCCAAGGCGACGCACTCCAGCTCGTCCCCGTTGGTGTGAAATGCAGTGCGCAAAGCGGCGATGGGGACCGCCACCCGTCACGCACAGCCCGACACGGCGGAAGGTGGAGGACAGAGTGCAGATTTGGCACATGGAATTTTAGAGGAGGCATGAGAGATAAGACGAATGAGCTGATCGAAATAATGAAAGAAAGAGAATTAGATGTCGTGTGTATGTCGGAGACAAAACGGAAGGGCAGTGGTACTGAAGAGCTCCCTGGCGGGACGTTAGCTCTATGGTCCGGAGTCCCGGAGAGCGAGAGCGCCTGCCAAGGAGTGGGGGTGCTGCTGTCGTCTCAGTTGGTCGATGTTATGACTGAATATAAGGTTGTGAACTCAAGACTTCTCTGGGTATCGTTTTAAATTGGGACTGACGAAGTTATTCCTTTTGGCTGTTTATGCGCCGGTAGCTTCTTCGTCCAGGGCCGAGCTGGAGGAGTTTTGGGAGAATGTAAGAGAAGTTCTAGATTTAGTTAGGGGAAACGGAAGAATTGTTGTATGTGGTGATTTGAATGGATGGGTTGGTACCGGTCGACCAGGGTACGAGTCGGTGCTTGAAAAATTTGGCGATAAAAGGGTTAATGATGCTGGCAAGCTTATACTGGCTGTATGCAAGGAAAAGGGTCTTCTTGTGACAAACACTATGTTTAATCACAATAAAATCCATATGTATACTAGAGAAAGAAAGAATGAGAGAAGTATGATCTATTTGTTCCTGGTGGATGACCGACTGCGAAAACAGGTGATGGATACGCGAATGTTCAGGGGTGCTGACCTGGGAACGGATCACTATCTAGTGATTACTAGATTTAGGGGTCTGTTCGCAGGTTGGCGCTACCGGATGGCAGTAACAGAACCACAGTCGATCTGTCGCATCCGAAGCTGGAAGCTTCAGGAAGCGGATATTAGGGACAAATATCATGCGAAGGTAGCCGAAAAGCTTGACACCATCGATGGGAAAAAAGAACGTGTGGAAAGAACATGGCAGAACCTTAGGGATGGAATGGTAAGTGCAGCGGAAGAAGTGTATGGAACGATAAAAAGTGGTAGTAGTAAAAGAAGAGATGCATGGTGGAATGATGAAGTGAAAGAAGCTGTAAAGAAGAAGAAGAAAGCATGGTTAGACTACTTGACCTCTAGTAATGATAAGGATATGAGAGAGAAGATGAAAGAAAGATATAAGCTGCAGAAAGTTCATATGAAAGCAATGACTGAGGAAGTGCGTGAAAGGTGTAGAATGGAAGAGGACGAAAGGTTGTCGCACAACTTTAAGGAGAACTCCAAACTCTTCTGGAAAGAGGTTGGAAGGACCCGAAGTGGTGCGACGACCTTAAGAATGAACAAAGTGCTTTCGAGAACCAATGACTTCCTCTCAAAAAAATCGGACGTCATGCAGCGATGGAGCGAATTTTATAGAGAAATGTATGTGTGTCATGATCTTAGTGAGGGATCCGGGGGTGACGCCGTGACTGGTACGCCAGACCCGGACCTCGATGACACTGAGGTCATCAGTATGAAAGAGATTGAACGTGCGATTAGAAGTTTGAAATGTGGTAAGGCTGCGGGACTAGACAGAGTTACTGCTGAAATGATCAATTATTTTCATCTGCTGTGCAATTTGTGCTGGCGGACGGGGGATGTCCCGGATGATTGGCGATCCGCAGTCATTGTGCCTTTATATAAAGGTAAAGGTTCACATTTTGACTGCGGGTGCTATCGGGCGATCAGCTTGACCAGTTTAGCAAGTAAAGTTTACTCGAAGGTTTTGACACGTAGGATGCAGAGAAATCGGAAAGATTTCTATGGGAGGCACAATGCGGATTTAGACCTGGAAGAGAATGCACGGATCAAATGTTTTCTCTCTGCATGATCACGGAGAAGCTTTTAGCTGCTAACTAGAAGATTTTTCTGTGCTTTTGTGGATCTTGGGAAAGCATTTGATAAGGTTGTAAGGAAGAAAATGTGGGAACTGTTGTCGGGGTATGGTGTGGATGGTAGATTGCTAAGGGCTGTGCAGTCACTTTACTGTGACTGTAAAGCCTGTGTGCGGGTAGGGCATGACCTGTCACCCATGTTTAGCGTCCCAACGGGCGTCAAACAGGGTTGTGTCATGTCTTCCTGACTGTTCATACTATATCTCGACAGCTGTTTACAGAAGCTGAAAGAAGAAGCTGTTTGGGTGTGAAATTGGGTGACATTAAAGTAAATTGTCTGCTGTATGCTGATGATGCAATGCTTATTGCACCATCAAAGGCAGAACTGCAGGCATTAGTCACGTGTATGAAAGAGGAATGTGAAATGAAAGGTCTCCGTTTGAATGCTAATAAAACTAAGGTTCTGGTATTTGAAAGGGACGAAGAGATAACGAAGTGTGAAATATGGGTAAATCAGGAATGTCTAGAACAGGTAAATGAAATTGTATACTTGGGGAGTGCTTACAGCCGGGATGGAAGATGTGACTTAGATGTGGACAGGCATATATATATATATATATATATATATATATATATATATATATATATATATATATAAATATATAAATAGAAAACGATTATTAACATTAGATTACGGCGTAACAATTAAAATATTTATGTGTACTTATTTTGATACTAAATTTCATAAATAATGAAAAATATATCAAAATGGTGTATAATGATAAATAATAAATTATATAATAATAAATTAATAAGGTCACATTAAAATGACACACCAAAAAATTTTCCATCCACTGAAGTCTATCCTAAGAAAACTTTATGGAACTATTATGGAAGATCGAGATCGTTTAATCGCCATACTCACAGTATTATAGTGCTAGCGAGTTAATAGATATGAAAGAAAGTGTCGGTCGCGTAGCTCGCCGCCCGCTCGGTGCGTAAAATAAGTAAGTACCTAAATTTATGAAACGCCGAAATGTAAGAGGGCTCTTAAGACTGAAAAACAAAAAACTAAAGATTTTATGTTGTGTAACTACATCGTCCACAAAACGTACGTCAAATATTGTTTAAAAAACGATTGTGATAAATAAAACATTGAAACTAGACAAACGATAGCTAAACAAAGTGATTTTGTATAACTATTGTACCTGACTTATCTATACAAATAAATAAAAATGAAGTGTCTGTTTGTAATGTCAAAATTACAGCTTTTTACTAAATGCATATGAAAGTAGATACGGTACTTATAACAAAAATACAATTTTTAAAATTTTTGTCTGTCTGTCTGTTTGTTCCGGCTAATCTCCGGAACGGCTGGAGGCTATTAAAACGGCTACTTTTATTTTAGAAAAATAATTAGGGTTCCGCGCAAAAGAATTAAAACCCTAAATTACACGCGAGCGAAGTCGCGGAGAACAGCTAGTTTTTAATAAAAAAGTATATAATATGAAATGAGATTGTTATTTATCAAATTATGTGACAACCCTAACCCACCATTTTAGTTTGTAAGAAAATGTACCTATTGCGTAGTATAACATTGCCCACCCAAGCGATATAAAAAAATAAAAAGTTTTTGACATTTTGAACAAGAAGGAGGCAACTTTGCATGATTTCCTATAACATACTTTATTACCAAAGTCTTAGAACTGATAGTTTTAGAAAAAATAAGGCTGAGCAATGTTAGACGGTTGTGCGTATAACTTTTCCCTGCTATTGAAGTTTTCTAGAATTCTAGGCCAGGGGCACAACATTTTGTAATTTAAAGCTTTTAATGCTAATTACTATATTGGTCAACTTTAATACGCGTTCTGGTAAATACTTTTTGCAATATCTTAAAATTTAGTAAAATGTACGGCAATGATGGCCGGTTTTATGGTGCCATAGATAATGCTAGTGATAGTAACATATAGTATACTAGCTGACCAGGCAGGCGTTGATCTGCCCTCTCCGACGACCCTGTGTGCTATAAAAATTCTTAAATTCGTAATAAAAAATATTGAGGGTCACTTATAGGGATAAAAACTATCCTATCTCTCAAGTTGGACCAAACTGCACACAGTGTGGAAAATTTCATTGCAATCACTTCAGAAGTTTAGTTTAGAAGTTCATCGCGGACAAACAATGTGACACGTAATTTAGTCTGTCAAGAAAGTCATGAAAAGAATGATGAGAATGAGAATGTCACTATGGTACAAAAGCCCTGGAGCCATGCCAGAAATATACATTTATAGTATGCAAATATATAATAGAGATACAATAATCTAAAAACTCTCAATTATGTATTATGTATTAAGCTAGCATCAAACAACCACAGGAAGCATGACTTTTTCCAAGTGACATAGGACGTAACCTAAAAAGGTTCAAATGTAAATATCTTTTTTTGACGCCTTCTTAGTACAAAATGCTTTGACAGAGTTGTTAAAGAACTGACGCTTAACATTTTAAGATATTTTTGGTATATAGACGCTACCATTTCTTCTCAACTAATTTTATGTATGAAAGTCTACCATTGCGCTTTGGAACTACTGCTTTTGCTTGCACTGGCAACAATAAATTATTGTCAAACTGAGTAACTCAGCTGTCATGTCGTCGTAGCCAAAGAGAATATAATCACTAGGTCGTAGCTTTGTATTTGATGTGTTCTAAGATTTTTTTGTTATATTTCACAAACTATATAGAAACACTACGCGTTTTATATTTCGAGTTTTTCTTATCGTATGACCGTTTAGACTTTAGATATTAACAATGAAACGCAGTATTTATAAGAGCGATACCAGACAAGTCATATTTAAAGTGTTTCAGGAGTGTATGGCCGAAACCGAAACAAAAAGACTGGCTCTCATAGAAAAACCAGTTATTGCTTCAAAACGTGAGTATTATTTAAAGCACATCCTTGAAAACAGAAGACTGCCCAAGGAGCTCCAAAAAAAATTATTTATTTGGATGAGAGCATGCACGAGTCCTACAAAGTAACTAAATGTTGTCAGTCTATTAATATTTCTGATGTCCAACAAGATGTATCTAAATGGAAAAGGTGGATAATTGTGCATACTGGAAGTGAGAATGATTTTGTGCCTAATGAACTATTAATATTTACTGGTAAAAACAAGCAAGATGATTACCATTCTGAGATGTATGCCCATAATTTTACAAAACGGGTAACTGAAAAGTTAGTGCCCAACATAACTGAACCATCAATAATTGTGATGGATAATGCACCATACCACTCCATTATAACAAACAAGGTATTTCTTTCTTATACTTTATTTTTGTTTTACATTATTACATATCTTTTTATGTTGCAACTGAAAATCAACTATTAAATTATGTTTTAATTTGACCAGGCACCTACATCTGCATTAAAAGTTGATGAAATCAAATTGTGGCTACTGGAAAATAATATTCCATTTGATGACACATTGTGGACACCATCCTTATTGATGCTTGTAAAAAAACATAAACCTGACTGCTGAAAAAAACCGCTGTATTATATTGATGAACTCCTAGGGGAACATGGACATACAGTGGTAATACATTGAGTTAGTTTGGGCAATGGTAAAAAGGCGAATTGCACAAAAGAATGTTTGTGGTCAAGAAGTTGTGAAGTTGGATACAGAAGCATTTCAGTCAGTAACTCAAAAAGAATGGAAAAATTGTGTTGACTATGTCATCAAAATAGAAAATGAATATTTTTCCCGTGGAGGATCTCTGTATAATGATATAGACAAACTTGTCATCTCAGTAAGCAATGATAGTTCCAGTGAATCTGAAGAGATTATGTATTTAGTATGTGAATTTAGTTAATTACTGTTGCTGGGATTTACAAGGATCAAGGGTTAGGCATACCAATAAAAGCATGTACTTGAAAAAAATATGACAGTATATGGACCATAATATTAAATCAATTTATAAACTAAAAAGTATCAAAACTTCGGTTGAAATCTATAGGGATGCCGTATAAATGATAGTGGCGTCCTCCTTTTTTTAATGAGTTTTTTGTTTTTTTTTGTTTTTGTTTTAAAAAACGTTACCCCTACTAGGATTTTCTCCTGTGTTGTGGAGGCAGTTTACAAACACAAATTGCACAAGGACAAACATCCAGACCCGGAACAATTATTTGTAGGCCATACAAATACTTGTTCCGTGCGGGATTCGAACCCGCGGCCCCCAGCGTAACAACTTTTTGCTAAGCCACTGCGCCATGGAGCCGTCATATGAGTTTCTTGACAGACTGTAGAATATACTGGCGTATAGACTGACATAGTTGTAACTGATTTTGAATGACAGGTCGGCAAGCAAGAAATAAGCTTCTAGATGTTTTGTAATTTTTTAGATTATATATTGTTAATATTTATAATTCATAGTTTTCCAATATAAATAATCCTGATGGTTGCACATTTCACCGGTAAATTCGCAAGACGTCGTTTCTGTTTAAGTCCTGTGGTTGTTTGATGTTAGCTTAATACATTCTCAACATAATGTACCTACCTACATAATTAAGAGTTTTTAGATTATTGTATCACTATTATATATTTAAATACTATAAATGTATATTTTTGGTATGGCTCCAGGCCTTTGTCTCTTACAGTGACATTCTCAGAAGAGCTAGAACCCAGAGGCGTGAAGCCTGTTAAAAAAACAGTGACATTTTGTTTTCGCTAGTGCTGCCATAACATTAAATAAAATTGTTACATGGTACTATGATTGAGATAATGTATTATTGTAGGAAGTTCTTTGTAAGAGCCTTATTTTCAACCATATCCCTTTTATTTTTATTATTACTGATAATATAGTTATTACCAATAATAACTTAATATAAAAATATTTTGAGTTTGTGTGTTGTGTTGGTAGTCTTACAAAGTGTATACGAAAATAGTATGAATATAGGTAAATGGTAACACTTGAATAGAGTAAAATCATAGACTTAGAATATACTGGCGTATAGACCAACATAGTGTGCAAGGCAGAAGAAAATTCCTTATAGCAAAAACGCAAGATAGAAAAGGATACCAAATCTCATGACTCTGTAACCCCTTAATAACCTAGAGTTTCAATTTTGATACCAATCTTTTAAACCGAATGTTCACATTACTATTAGTTTTTTTTTATAGGTTGGCTGTTCGTATTTTACTGTTGTATAATATTCTTTCCAACGAAATTAAAAAAAAGCAAATGTCATTATTGTTTTATTTTATCTATGACATATTACTTGCGCGGCAAAGTGAACAAGTAAACACATTTTACTAAAAGTTTTGTTAAAAACAAATTTGATATATTTTCTTTTTCTGAAGAATATAAATACTTTTGAGGTAAGTGAATATATTATTTTCGCTATAATATAATTACTTTTTGCGAGTGCATGTTTTACTTGAAGAAACTAGTGCTATTTTTGTGAGTATCAATTTTGATACTTCGGGCATTCCGATCTACATAAAACCTAACTACTAATTCTTTAGCTATAAAAACTTTTTGAACTTCCGTTTCATTATTTTTCTGCTTAGCTTGGTGTTGGGATTACTTTTATTTTTATTTCATTATAGAAATTTATCAAAAATGCGACCAGAAGAGATTGAGAGCATATTGATGCGGTTAAAAAATGGTGAAATTTCGGAAGACGATTCCACCGACAATGAAGATTACATAGACTATTATTCGAGCCAAAGAGATCGCCTGTTGGAGCTAGAAGATGAAGAGGATATAGGTAATTTTCCCACTGACCCAAACTTGGATGCAGATCCGCCTGTAGCAATCGTAGATACCGACATGCAACATAATTTAGAGACTGTTGAACGAAGCCCAACTCCTACAACCAGCAGCCAGAACAACCCGCAAACTGCACCTTTCAACTCTAGAAGCTTAGTGTGGAGAGTAAAGAATATGGCCATAGTCCAAAATGCTTTCCAGTTTGCTGGAAACACTGAGTATTCACAAGAAATTATGAACTTAGACACTCCTTTTCAGTTTTTTTCTTATTTTTTTCGGTGAAGAAATTTTAAGATTTCTAGTGGACGAGTCAAATAAATATGCCTTCCAAAAGAATCCCAACTTTACAGAACCTGTAACTGTCTTAGAATTACGCAAATTTATTGGAATTCTTATTTTTACTAGTGTATATCATTATCCCAGTGTCAGGTCATACTGGTCAAACATTACAAAGTTTGAACCCATAGCACAAACAATGAATCGCAACAGATTTGATAAAATTCGACAAATTTTTCACATGTATGATGACTCCTAAACATTTGCCCATTGATCATCCCCAGCACGATCGACTGGATAAAGTAAGACCAGTGATAGACTATTTGAACAAGAAATTTATTACTGTACCATTTGAGCACCGTCTATCACTAGACGAGCAAATGTGTTCCACTAAAATTAAACATTTTATGAAACAATACTTACCCAACAAGCCCCATAAGTGGGGATTCAAATTATACGTTTTATGCTCTCTGTCTGGGTATGCCTACAGTTTTGAGATTTACTCAGGAGCTAAGGACAAAGGCCGTTTACCTGGCGAGCCAGACCTCGGACCTGTATCGAATACAGTTATTCGATTGTTACGACCAGTACCAAGGCACGTCAATCATATAACTTATTTTGACAATTTTTATACGAATATTCCTCTGCTACATTACTTGACCAACGAAGGTATTTATTGTCTTGGAACAGTACCGAGAAACAGGCTTGGAAAGTCGTGCAAGTTGCCGGAGAAACGGGAAATTATGAAGTCTAACGTACCCAGAGGAACATATCACGAAAATGTGGCCTCTCACGAAGGCCAAGAATTTTCGGCCACAAGTTGGAAAGACAACAAACAAGTACTATTACTTTCGACGTATGGTGGCGCTGAACCAGCGGATACTATAACCCGCTACGAAAAAAAACTAAAGGCCAATGTTCAAGTATCATGTCCTCGGGTCATAAAAGAATATAATGCACACATGGGCGGTGTTGATTTGATGGATAGCTTCATTGGTCGATATCGCATCCGCATAAAGTCGAGAAAGTGGACAACGAGGCTCTTCTACCACTTGTTAGACATGACTGTCATCAATGCTTGGGTACTATACAAAAAGGTAAACACAGTGAAAGGAAAACTTCAGAAGAACATTATGAAGTTAGCAGATTTTAGAACTGAGCTTGCCGATACTTTATGTAGATATCAAAGTCACTCGAAAAATAAAAGGGGAAGACCCAGTACCAACAGTCGACAAGACACTACAGTAACTTCCAAAAGACCCCGGACAGGTGTACTAGTATTACCCTCTACTGACGTGCGTTGCGATTGTATTGTTCATGAAAAAATATTTATGGATTCTAGAAATAAGTGTAAATTTAATAATTGTAGGAAACTTAGCTCCTGGTTCTGTAAAAAGTGTAAAGTGTCGTTATGCGATAATAAAAACAATCAATGTTTCGCATTATTTCATGCATAGGTATATCTGATTTCTTTATGGCCTTAATACCTGAAGTATCAAAATTGATACCTGTTTTTTTTTTCTAAATAAATATGTAAAATTAATATTGTGATTTTTTTAGCTATTTTTCCCTTCATCTAGACCCTCAAGCAAACACATTAATATTTTAAAAAAAATCACTTTCGTAAATCAGGCTACTAAGGGTTAATGAGTTTTTTTGTTTTTTTTTGTTTTTGTTTTAAAAAACGTAAATAATCCTGATGGTTGCACATTTCACCGGTAAATTCGCAAGACGTCGTTTCTGTTTAAGTCCTGTGGTTGTTTGATGTTAGCTTAATACATTCTCAACATAATGTACCTACCTACATAATTAAGAGTTTTTAGATTATTGTATCACTATTATATATTTAAATACAATAAATGTATATTTTTGGTATGGCTCCAGGCCTTTGTCTCTTACAGTGACATTCTCAGAAGAGCTAGAACCCAGAGGCGTGAAGCCTGTTAAAAAAAACAGTGACATTTTGTTTTCGCTAGTGCTGCCATAACATTAAATAAAATTGTTACATGGTACTATGATTGAGATAATGTATTATTGTAGGAAGTTCTTTGTAAGAGCCTTATTTTCAACCATATCCCTTTTATTTTTATTATTACTGATAATATAGTTATTACTAATAATAACTTAATATAAAAATATTTTGAGTTTGTGTGTTGTGTTGGTAGTCTTACAAAGTGTATACGAAAATAGTATGAATATAGGTAAATGGTAACACTTGAATAGAGTAAAATCATAGACTTAGAATATACTGGCGTATAGACCAACATAGTGTGCAAGGCAGAAGAAAATTCCTTATAGCAAAAATGCAAGATAGAAAAGGATACCAAATCTCATGACTCTGTAACCGATTTTGAATGACAGCTGACAGAAATAGCTGCTAGATATTTTGTAATTTTTTAAAATGTAATAGTGGTTATTTTTAGTAAGTAACTATTTTCCAAAATGCTTACTTGTTCAGTAAGTGATGTGGTGTTAATAATAGAAATAATCCTGA